AACTTTGAATCAAAACACAAAACTTTTTGTTCTTGGCAAAAATGTCAAGAACAATGAAGAACATTCATGAAAAACTCAAAAATTTTCATGAACATTTTTCACCCAAAAACATCTCAAAACCATTCAAACTTTAGGAAAATAACATATAACCAAACTAGGGTACATAGGGGTTACAAAAGTCACTTTAAAACACTTTTAACAAGTCAAACAAGAACCCAAAAATCCACCCTTTGGATTTGGCCGAATTTCCCCAAAATCATGGCACCAAATTTTAGCTCCAATATTCATGCTCATAAGAACTACATCTACAACATTTGAGATGGCAAATTTTCTAGCAAAATTTACATTCAAAGAAGCAAGAATAAAGCTTGTAACAATTACAACTTTTAAATCACAAACTATGAACCACAAAACCCAAAAGGATTCACCAACTACTAGACCTAGGCTCTGATACCACTTGAAGGATGATTTTTTGAAAACATGTTCATTTGAATAACATCTATAGCATGCATTTAACAATTTAAAGGCGGAATCATGCTTGCATGCATTCAAAAACAAAACATTACCCATGAAATTCAAAGCCTAGTAGATTGGTGAACCAAGAGTCAACTCAAAACAAAGTGAGTTGAGATTTATACCTTTGTAGATTCCTCTTTGCATAAGCAAAGGCTAATCACCCAAAGAGAGGGCCTTCATTCCTTGCTTCTTAGATCCATGGATTTGGATGGAAGAATATGGTTCTCCAAGTTCCCAAAATTGAGAACCTCTAAGTCTCCACACCAAGGTAAGATTGATGAAGAAATGAGTGACCTTGGAGGAGTAGGATTGCTAGATAATCCCTCCAAGGGGGCCGGCCTCCTAGAGAGAAAAGGAGAGACATGTTCTCTCTAATTTTCTCCAAAAGAACCCTTAATGAATTTTAGGCTATAAAGTTCTTTATATAGTCACTTCTTTAAATGACCTAAAGAACCAAAAACCCTAATTCAACATACATGGCCGGCCATATAAGGGATATGGGCTTTTGGACCTTTGTGAATCTTTATTCATTAAATTGTCATACAACTTAAGTCAATGGGTTTGACGTTCGAAGCCCATTGGGGCTTAAGGTCCAAAATTATCCCGAGGTCTTTAACGAACTTATTCGTTTGATTAATTAACATATTAATTAATCCTTGCCATAAATAATTAAACCATTTAATTATTCTTACTCATCTCCATTGTTTCTTCAATCTCCACCTTACACGGTGTACGATCCATTAGGTTCCTTTTAGCGAGGCAATGGGCGATTAAAACTCTTTAAAATCGATTGTGAATTGAAACTTACTTTCAATTCTTCCTTTAGTGTTTATACACGTTTAAGGCTTCCACAAACCAAGAGTGACACCTAGCAGCATATCATGGTTACCCAAGCTAATCAGAAGAGGTAGATAACCTATTCAGTTTAGGATTACAAATGCAATACGGTCTTTCTTTAATACAATACTCTTGACCACATTGTTTGGTTTGATAGTTTATTCATGTCTACTATCCAATGTGATTCGTGTGCTTATATGATTACCTTGAATGTGATTTGGAACGACTTTTCTAAATCTCATTCATACTCTGGCCAGAGATTCTAAATCATATCATAGAGTATTCTCCCCCAAACGGTTTGAAGGTTAGAGATCCCTTGTTGCGCATTCACTTGCCTCCATAGCTAAGTGGCTTAACCCCAACGATGCCGTGGACACCCGCGGATGGGGTGACTTTGACATAATCAAAGATCAAGGACTTAACCACAAGACAAACGTGATGCCTCAGGTCAAAGGACTACTTTGCATTATCCCAACCGTGAGTTCTCATGTGACATGAATATGAGAACTCTTCGTTGATCATGTTCAGTGAACTCATTCTCTATTGAGCACCTACGTACTTGTCTTGATGTCACACACACCAATGACTCGAGACTAGTCACTCTCCCTGAGAGAATACACAGCACGTACTGATCTTAACGGACTGTCAATGCCCAATTGGCAATCCTATGATCAGGAACGTTTAGGATGTGTCTACGAAAGAATGGTCTCATGAATCTAACTTCTTTAGATCGCATTCTCCCAATCACATATTCCTTGGACTTATCGTTTAAGCATATAACATTTATATGAGACGGCTCAAACAATAATCTTTGCCCTTGATATTAAACTAGATTAGTTTAACATGTGAAATGTCCGTAAAGTATCATCATATGATTGGTTTTAGGGCACATTTCCAACAGTTCTATCCCAATTTCTCTCAAACAGTAGGGTTTTGGTTTGCTTTCTTGGATTAGATTTGTATATATTCCATTGCATCTCAGTTTTCTCTGATTTAATGGCATAATCTGGCTCTTGGTATTCTAACTTTGCTTTCTTTGCATCAAAATTGTATCTGGCTCTTGGTTTGCTTTATCTAATTTTTTTTATTTCTATAGTTAGATAAATTAAGGAAATTTTTTCTATTAGTATATGAGTATTCGATTCTGATATATCATTTTCCTCCATTTGACGTGATTTTGGATTACTAAGACTTAGGCTTGCTTTATGTGTTTTCGTTGAAAAAAGGCTTTTAGCTGAGTAATTTACTAATTTGGTTTTGATTATCAGCTATAAGAGAATGGGGGGTTTAATTTGTAATTATATTGATGCGGCTAAATTTTTTAGGTTTTACAGATTTTTCCAGTTCAGGATGATAAAAATTTAGGGCTTTGATTTGTTGATGCGATTTCCACCTACTCTGAATTCAAATAGAAATGCAAGGATATATTAGACTTATAGGGTGTGTTTGTTGTACCGGATTGTCTCGGACTGGACTAGCTGCAGGGACTAAGCTGGACTGGCTTAGACTAGACTAAGCTGGACTAGCTTAGTGAAACGTTTGGTGCAGTGTCAGACTAAAAATAAGGATAATGAAATAGTTATCAATGTTCGAAAGAAATGGGGGCTTTTGAGCTCTCAACGTCAAAAGAAACTCAACTAATTTTCAGACATTGCAACCACAGTTGGAATCAAACATGCATCCATAACCCACAATCTATGGCAAATAAAATTACGATTCTTCGTCAGTTTTCTCAACAACCAAACAACTTGTAAAATATCCATTGAAGAACAGCACAATCAACATTTCCAAATCTTTATCTTCAATGTAAGAACAACATAAATTCGAAGAATAAATGTAAAACAAAAAATGACCAAAACAAAAGAACCGATCTATATCACCAATTATTCAAATCCAAAAAACCCAATTGAACCCAATTAAAAATAAACCCAAACAATCCAATTTTCCAGCAGATCTTTTAAACTAGACAAATTGTTAAAATCCCAGATGACAAGTTCACTGCTTGGATCCCAAAGATCAAAAGAGAGAGTAGTGCTTGGAAAAACCCAAATTGATCCAATTTCTCTAGCAGATCTTTGCAATCCGTTTTTGCCTTCAAACCTCTGTCTTCGAACCTCAACTTTCAAACCTAGCCTTCGGTCGTCAACCCCAGCCCTCAGCCGATCGTAATATCAAGTAAACTTTCTCCTTTCTAATTGATCCACGGATCGAGCCCGACCCATCAGTGGTGGTAAATAGATTTTGGGATTCAGGTGGTGGTTTGGGTTGGCGGTGCACAGAGATATAGCAAGGGAAGATCCATGCGGGGAGAGAGTGGGAGGATTTGACGGCGAGGTCGTCCAGTAGGAAGAGAACGCGACTCGAGTAGACAAAGTAGACGAAGCAAAGAGCGGTCTTAGCAGTTCGCTTCATTTTGGGGGGACTATCTGAGACCCTCTAGCGAGGTCGATAGTCGGGACGAGTCCCACCTAGTCCCACTAAAGTTAGTCCTTGTGATTAACAAACACAACACTACACTAACTTTTAGTCTAGTCTAGTCTAGTGAAGGTTAGTGAAGCCAAACAAACACACCCATAGTGTTTGCTTATTATAGATGTTGTATTTCTGTAGTGCACTAATATTTGTTTTAAAAAAATTAATTAGTTTTTCCTCCTCGGTGTTTGCTAAGGTGCTTCTCGAGTCGGCATTGGAACGTGCAGGTGATGAGGATTCAGGGGATGAGGAGGAAATGGCAAAGGATGAGGACCAAAACGTGTTCTCTGTTAGGATAATTGGTGCCCTGAATGCCAGAAAGTCTGCACTCACCACTCATTAATTATATGGTTTGTTCCTTTGGTATTTATGGTTTAAAGGTGTTTAATTTGATGGTGTTTTTGATAAATTGTTAGTTTAGTTATTGATTGTATTGAGTGTGGTTTATGCTTTTGGTATTAAGTAGTTTTTTTATATCCCTGAACTCTTTTTCAGATAGAGAAACGTGAGTTCTTCTAAGGTGTTTAAGTGAGTGTCAATCAGAGGGTATTTTGTTAGAATATCTATCCGAACAAAAAATTTCTTTGGAATGAAATAAATGAAACAACTTTTGACTCCCACATTTGAGATGTGTATAGGTTTTGAAAGTATAAAACCAAAAGTTACATTTTCATTCCTATTTACAGAAATACAACTTGCAGAATTAGTTAAATGTATCAAATGACTAGCGTGTGAATTTGTGTATAGTTAAAAATAATCTTATCCTTAAGGATTATTGATTGGGCAAATTTGGTTGAGTAAATTTAGGGTTATTGATTGGGCTAATTTGGTTGATTAATTGATCTGATTTGGATGGGTTTGAGGGTTAGTTTGTAGGAATGTTCCATTGGTGTTCTTTTTCTTCTACACAGTTACCAAAATCTCAAGTCCCCATTTGATCCTCGAGTACAACCTAATCATCTTTGCTGTAATACAATCATATTCTTGAGGTTTGGATTTTTTACACTCATGTTTCTACCCATTATATGTTTCTGCCCAATCATATTTGCTCATGTTTTCGCTGTTAGAAAATACATGCATGTTCTCTAAACTAAAATACACTTCTCAGATTGCTGTGATTATTGGATTGGATTTTCCTTATTTACCTTCATATAATGGTGGGTTTAAATTTTCAGGTGAAAGTTTTTACGCAACCTCATTGCTTGCAAAATTTTGTTCAGTCAACATTCAATGCCCTGCCATCAGATCAAGTTAAAGGTATGAATCACTGTCATACTATTTTCGTAACTTTTTATTCCCTTGTTGAACACAATGGAGTGAATTGTCTTCATTTGCATTCTTGCATTTGAACTTACGTATGTTCTTACTCATTTGTAAGCTTTTCATTAGTCATGAAATATGATACATTTTCTCTTTACAAACTGATGACATACAATTAGTTTCTTTTTGGTTGGGTTGAAATGATATTGATTGTGCTGTTATGAAGCTCCTTTTTATAGTTGAGTTGAAAATCATGTTAATAGAATCTTTTTTTTGGTTGGTCCGATCTGTAACAAATGAGATTGTTTTGTTTGAATCAAAATTTGATATTTTTTTGTGTGAAATTATAATGGAATCTCAAATTTGTCAGGTATATCTTAAGATTCTTCGTTGCATATTCACCTTACAACTTTTACATTGTCTCTTGATTGGATGGATTTTTATAATTTCCATGATCAACAGATGCATGAAGTAAGGAGGAAGCTACTACTCTTATGGAGCTTCTTTGGCATGGTAAGTTGAAGTTGCAAATCATTTTTTTCGTTCATGGAATTCATTATCTTTCTATATTGGCAATTAGCAGTGTCTGACAATTGGTAAAGTGTGTTCATTTTTCTGCTTAACTTATCTTAAGAATATTTGCATCTTAATACTTATTTTAATTATGTTAATTTGTCCCCTTTTCCATAGAACTTTGTGAAATGTGAATGTAGGTTATTCTCAATCCTCAGATAGTGATTATTTAACTTCTCCAAACTTGGCTACTCAGCTTAATGTATGCTTGGATTTTAAAGGGGCACCGTATTTATGAGTTGTACGATTCTAGGGAGATAAAGAGAGGGGATTGAGAGGTCATGCTAAGGAGAGTATTTACTTGCCATTGACGAATATACTTCATACAATAGCAATGTGATGATGTATGGCATGCTTTAACTAAGGGATGTTTTTGTGTAGTAAGAAAACCATATAGTCACATTTTTGTATTTTTTTTTTTTTTTTTTGGATTTGGTAACCTGAAATTTTATGTGTGAACTATATGTTTCTTAAAGAAACAGAACTTTTTTGGAAACCATCTCTTTCTAATCCAAGACGTTCAGTTTCTTCTCTGTACAATGTGTTTATATGCCAACTCACTTGAATGTATATAAAAAAACTGTTTATTCATAATTGTGTTGAATTTATTCATCCAATTACACTTGAAACAACAGGTTCCCGCAACAACGCACGGGCATATTTTCTCGTTGTATCTGAAGAGAAGGTTCATATTGACTTGAAATAAATTCCTATTAATTTGTATTTGTATCTCCGGCTAGATATACATGCACAAAATAAGTACAATTGCTATTCTTGCAATTTTCCGGCCACCAATTATACGAGTTCTCGACCAAAGAAAACAAAGACGGCGAAAGACCATGTTGCTCTGTTCAGTTATGGGAAGAGGGAGAGGAAGGAGATACACCAGGATCTCAAATACCTTTTTAATCAGAAAACATGAAAACACCGAGTGGAGTTTAGCCACTGTCACTGAACCAATTTTCTCATATCAAATGGACCACAGAATTTAGAACTTGAAGCCGAAATATTGGATATTTAGATAAATTTTGTGGATACGATCTCGTTCTTGTATTGTTGGAGCAAAAATATAACTTAACATGAACCCTAAATCACATGTTAATCTATATGAGTAGAAGAGTTACCTGTTGAAGACATGGTGGTTGTAAAAGAACTCTTCTACTCATTCAGAGACCTTTATTTTCTAATGGTGATAGACCCCGAAAGTAGAACACTTTCTCTATGAGCAGGGAATTCATTTACACGATGCGATGTAGCCAACTTCCATCTACCGTGGAGGGTTGGTTGTTCACCCGTTGCACCAAATCCCAACCGTGTATGGAGTGGCTTTAGAAGCATGTTGAATATATTTCCTCAATTATAGGATGTTGGTTTTACACGTATTCAACCTCTAATGATTTGCATCACCAACATATTACTTCTCCTTATCACAACTAGTTGAGTCCACATAGGATTCTTACATGTATATCTATACTACTATTGATTTATATGCCTGCAAGTTTAATTCGTGATTTCTGAATTCTCTTTTTCAGGTTTTTAGAATTCCACAACGACTCCCATCATATTTTGTGCTTCAATCCGACAGAAGACGAAATGCAGAGAATGCAAATTGTTAACGATTGACGAACAAATTAAGAATTGTGCAGCTTTCTTAATGAACAAAAGAATTGTATTAAGACAGCCTTCATATTCACTTCGTCAATCGAATCGACCGCCTTATGTCAGGTAATAATTCTTGTTTCTACCCTAATTCACAGAAGAAATGTCCCAAGAAGTCTACCCTCCTCTTCCCTAGGGTACTAGTATAGTGTACATGCATGCAGGTGAATCATATCGTCATATCCTTACAAAGAAAATACTGAGCTCGGGCCCATTATTCCCCTCAGGACTCAACATGTACAAAGTTTCCGAGTCTTTTGAGCCAACAACACGTTCGAAGAGGGCCCGCATATACGCCATTTCGCCATCCGGACCCTCTACCTCAGACTTCCCGGGCAACACACCTGCGCCCATAGTCACTGCCTTGAGAAGTTCCATAACGTTCAAGTCCTCCTCTGTGGCCTCCCTCTTCATTCCATACCCTGTCTTCTTCCCATTGCAGTATATGGTCCACACCGGCTCGTCAATAAGCCTCGTCTTCTCCTTGTCCGCTCTCTTTTCGCATTCCAACGCGATTCTGACCATCCCTGACCCCATCTCCTTCTGCAGCACATTTGTCTGCATGGCCATCTCCACCACTAGGCTCGGAAGACACCTAGGGGTTTCTTGTACCGAAAGAGACACACGTCCCTTTCGGTACCCAAACAGCGTGCCACTGACCCGAGTGCCAGAGGAGATGGCCCGGCTAGAGTCGAGCCTGCCCATCGGGAGTGAGGGCATCTTGCAGGTGGGGGTGATGATGGGGAAGGATCGGAATACAGAGCGAAAGACGCGGAAGACTTTGGTTTTGCTTTTCTTTTTATGGCATGGTTCGAGAAGGGAGGATTGCTGGCGGGGAAGTGGCGGTGGTGGCGGGACTGTAGATGACGAGGATATTGTTGTGGCTGCTGCCGTCGTCTGATGGTCTTGTGATATTGGAGATTTCGGCTCCCCCATTAATGGCTTTGCTGACGGACCAGGAATGGGAGAATGCCATGAGAGAGAGACACAGAAGAGAGAGAGAAACAAAGCGTACTAGCTAGATTAGACGGGGAGGAGAGAGAGAGGGCTGGGGTGAGGAGTGCAGAGAGAGAGAGAGAGAGGCTGAGTCTAGTCGTTATGGTTGTTATGGGATTTGCGGTTTTGGTTGTGTTTGCTAAGCTTAAATTCCGGACGTTGACCACATCTCTATTTAGCCTTTACTATTTAGTATTTTACCTTGTAGTACTCTCGAGGAGGACCTTATAAACGTGTATATCAAGTTTCATTTAATCTATGAGTAACGCTACTTTTATTTTACTTCCTTCGATCAATTCTTATCACTTCTTCTTTTATATAATTCTGTTGTAGGCCTATTTGACTGAACTGTATAAAGGGTAGAGAGGGAGAGGGGCCGGTGGCAACCGAGAGAGAAGAGAGATATGTAATTGTAAGATGTGTGTTGTATCACCTCTTTATCCCTTTATTTATACTAGTAGGATAGGTAGAATCCTTACCCTAATAGGATTACATTTCTAATAGGAATTCATTTCTAATACAAGATACTCTAGATACAATAGGATTTACACAATCATATTCATAATCCAATAAGACTGCAACACTCCCCCTTGAGTGTGTAAATACTCAAACAAAACGTCGCATTAGATCTTCAGCAGATGAGGTAGAATAGTTGATGAAGTTGTCGGTACAACAGATGAATGGAAGTCTCAAATATAAGAAAGTAAGTATGCATGGGTAGTAAAACTCACAAAACCTCACTATGGTAAAACCCAAGGCATGGGGAAAACCCATAGACTAAGGAGAAAAGTGAGAAGTATGCATAATGTCTAAAACAAACGTCAAACAGGATGAAAGTAGTGAACTCAATGGAGTATGATCATCCCAAGATGGGTGCCTCATCAAAACCTCATTAGGTAGGAAAAACCCAGTAGGAAAAATGCTCTTAATCGTAGGAAAAAGACCACGTGAGTATGCTTCAAGATACTTCCCCTGAGTTAGACATAACTTCTAAATAAGAGAACTACAAGCAATTCAACTTAGATAATTTACGCATATTGATTCCTTGGATGAGCTTTTGAAAAGTAGACTTGGGCAATGACTTGGTCAAGAGATCGGCCAAGTTGTCCTGGGAATGGATTTGCTTGACTTAAATGTTTTGATGTTGTTGTTGCTGGTGAGAATAAAAGAACTTTGGCGCTATGCGCTTGGTGTTGTCTCCCTTGATGTATCCCTTCTTTAACTGCTCGATACATGCTACATTGTCCTCAAAGATCGTCGTAGGAAGGTTAACAATGGAAGTAAGACCACTAGTGCTTCGAATATGTTCCATAATTGCTTTCAACCAAAAGCACTCTCGCGAGGCTTCATGCAAGGTGAGAATCTCAGCATGGTTCGAAGAAGTCGCAACTAGCGTTTGCTTGGTAGACCTCCAAGCAGTGGCGGATCCAAGAGATAATATTAAGGGGGTCAGTAAGAATAGTGCGCACATTGCGCAAATTTTTTTATACCAGAAATAACATGCATATCGCCATTTCATCGAGTCTTGGTAGGCCTTAAGTCATTTGGAAATGCATACTACACATCTGTTAATGTATGCAAGGGGCAGCACCCAAGGTATTCATGGACATTCATCGGGTTTTGGTAAGCCTGAAGTCGGTTGGAGGGCATGTATGAAACCAACTCTAATCTTCAAAAGGGCGGCACTCAAGGTATCCATGGACATTCATTGAAGTTCGGAGGGTCAGCACCTAAGGTATCTATGGACGTTCATCGAAGTTTGGGGGGTCAGCTGACCATTCTTGCCCCTTAATGAATCCTCCAGTTCCTCCAAGATATAGCGGTGTCTCCAACGGTAAAGACATAGCCCATTTGAGAACGTGCCTTATGTGGGTCAGACAGATAATCAGCATCCGCGTAACCAATAAGGCAAGAATCAACCCGAGGATCGAAGGGGGTGGCGGCTCCTCTCGAGGATTCATGGGTATAGAACAAGCCCAAATTTGTCGTACCCTTGAGGTAGCAGAAAATGTCTTTAACACCATTCTAGTGTCTGTGTGTAAGCATGTTGCTGTATCTAGCTAAAAGATTAACAGCGAATGAGATGTCGGGTCTAGTGCATTGAGCGAAGTACAACAAAGCACCAATTGCACTTAGGTATGGAACTTCAGGCTCTAAAGTCTCTTCCTCGTCCTCATTTGGACGGAAAGGATCTCGTTTAGCATCTAGAGTCCGAACGACTATAGGAGTACTTGAAGGCTTCGCTTTATCCTCATTAAAACCTTGTAACACCTTTTAGGTGTAGTTTGATTGATGTACTTGGATTCTATCCAAACAATGCTCGATCTCTAGGCCGAGACAATATCGAGTTTTCCTAAGATCTTTCATCTCAAATTCCGGTTTCAAGTGAACGGCAATTTCCTTAAGCTCTGTGGGAGTTCCGATGAGGTTCATGTCGTCAACATAAACTGCAACGATAGCAAATCCGGAATGTGACTTCTTAATGAACACTCATAGTCTGTTGTGCAGCCGCCCTACCCTCGAGGATGGTTCGACCTTCCAAGGTGGTGTTACAGCGTACGTTAAGTACGTCCATCCTTGTAGGTGCGTTTGCAGTGGGTATATGTGATCTCGTCAACTTTTCTAGATCAATAAAAGCATCTGGTATGCTTTGAGCAATGCTCTGAAGATCTAGAATGCGTCGCACTTCAGTTTCAAATTAAGGGGTGCGGGGATTTAAATGAGACATAATGGGATTAATCCACGATAATTCGCGGTGTTCTACATGAATGTTAGTGATCTTATCTCCCCTAACGACGGGAAGACTATCTCATCGAAGTGACAATCCGCAAAATGTACGGTAAAGAGATCTCCTGTCAAGGGCTCTAAGTAGCCAATAATGGATGGAGAATCATAACTGACATAGATTTCCATTTTTCTCTGAAGACCCATTTTGGTACGTAGTGGTGGCGCTATTGGTACATAGATTGTGCACCCAAACACATGTAAATGCGAAACATCAGGCTCGTATCCAGTAACCAACTGTAACAGTGAATAAGGTTGGGTAGCAGTGGGCCTCAAGCGGACCAATATAGCTACGTGTAATATTGCATGGCCCCAGACAGATACCGGCAAGTTGGTTCTCATAACCAAAGTCTGAGCTATTATTTGAAGGCATTTTATGAAAAACTTTTACCAGGCCATTTTGGGTGTGAACAGTGGGTACAAGATGTTCAATATCAATCCCAACAGACATGCAATAATCGTCAAAGGTCTATGACATAAACTCTTCAGCATTATCCAGTCGAATCGACTTAATCGGATAATCAGGGTAGTGAGCCCTAAGCTTAATAATTTGTGCTAGGAGTTTCGCAAATGTAGCACTACGTGGGGATAATAAGCAGACATGTGACCATCGCGTCGATGCATCAACAAACACTATGAAATATCTAAATGGTCCGTTTGATAGGTCCACAAATATCCCCTTGAATCATCTGAAGAAAGTTAAGGGTGTCGTGAATAATCTTTGTAATTGAGGGTTGAATGTTCAAGTTCCCTAGGGAACATGCTTTGCAAAGCAGATGGCCGAGATAAGATTTCAAGTGATGCCTATGAGATACTTTGAGGATATGGCGCATCATATATCGTCAGAGGTGTCTCATTCGATCATGCCAAAGCAAGAGAGTGTCATGGAACCCAGCCATAGGGTCGGCCACATGGTATGTCTCGAGGGCTCGAATGGTTGTTATGTACAACCCACTAGGGAGACGTTCCAGCTTTTTGTGAATACGCTTCCGGCCATATTCATAAGAAGTGATACAAAGAAATTCAGAACCATTCTCTTAAGTGGTTTCAACATGATATTGATTATCTCGAATATCTCTCAAACTCAGCAACGTTCTTCCGGAATGTGGAGAATAGAGTGCCTCTTTAATGGTTAATCCAGTACCATTGGACAATATTATATGTGTCTTTCCGTATCCTTCTATCAGGTTGGATGGGCCTGAGAGGATTGTCAGAGGTGTATTCTTAGGTACGAAGTTAGTAAAATAGTGTTTTTCATGCAATATGGTGTGGGTAGTTGCACTATCAATCAGACAACTAACTTCCCCACTAGTCATACCTAGAAATAAATTAATCGAATCAGTCACATGCATAAATATAATTCCATTCATTCAATTAATCAATTCGAGAAATAATATCCATAAAATAATTATCCATAATTCAAAACAAAACCAAAACCAAACAAATAATTCCAAAGGCTTAAAAAACAATTATCCAAAAATTAAACCATAAACCTAAGAATTTAGGGGGGAGAGGGGGGAGGGGGTTGGCCACTAAGGGTATAAAAACACCTTAACATGTCTTCAGAAAAATAAAACTTTATTCTTCCATAGAAGCGGATGCCTCCTTAAAACCTGAAACCTCCGGAGTTGTAATAGCATCTTTGGGATGTTCCACATGCACAAAGTTAGTCTCACGACGGGAATGATACTTGGCAATAGCCTCGAGGTTAGCTCATTATACGCGTGACCAATATCATTTGATCCATAGCAGTAGCACATGTCCATTTCAATGGAATCCGATTGAACGGTTGTTTTTCCCTTATTCTTGAAGTTTAGGGCCAAGGGCAAGGGGTTGGCACTTCTGGGTCAAATGTCCTCCCTTGGATGGGCCTCAGTTCGGTGGACCTTGGACCTATGGTGGGCCTTGCTGCCCATTACCATGGCCACGATGGGGTTTCCGTCGGTTATGGTTGCTAGAATTGGTCCTATACACTTCAGGCGGAGCGTTCGAGCTAGTAGGTTGAGCTTGATGATTTTCATCAAAAGATGAGCGAGAAGTAGAACAGAAATCAAATCCAAAAATTTGGTGAACTTCTGTGCCCTATATTGTTACTGTCGAAAAATATTGGTGGCATTGAAGGTCGAATAGGTCTTCTCTAGGAGATCCTATTCGGTTAAGTCCTCTTTATAGAACTTAAGCAGTGATCAGATTCTACAAACTTTAGAGTTGTATTAATTCACAGATTTAAAGTCTTGGAAGCGTAAATGGTGCCAGTCATTCTTACTTCAGGCAAGTAAATGTCTTTCTGGT